AAAAGGGAAACTGATATACCTGTGTCAAAACAATCATAAACTGTATTCCATAATAACAGAGCCAATAGTAGTTCCAGACAATTTGTGCATTAAAAACAATGAAATTAGATCAGTGTTCCCACATGTGAACTTCCATAAAAGCAAGATAGTATACATTTCTTTTTCAAGAAAAAGCAAAGCCAGAAACTTCATGCATAATGCATCTTTCTTCTTCCTGTTAATGTATCTTTTCAACAAAATTGATCATATAATAAGCATTTTTCTCATTTCTTGTAGTCCCCCAAAATAAGTGATCTGTAAACAAAAATACTGGGGATCAATTTCATCTACTGGTAGTTTTCTTCCACAACAGAACACCTAATAAACTTGGTGGAGATTTTGTAAATCCTAAAATTCTATATATTATTGACTCAATTTCAAGAAAAAATTACCAAAGTATATCACATGTAACAGAAGTGTAAAGGTACAACACCCCTGTAATTAACTTTTGAATGTAAAAATGAAGTTGAGGAATAGCGCTTAAATCTACATAACATAAGAAAAATACAAGCAAAATGATTACCAAATAGTGTAATGGAAAGTGAAACATGATCTCTTTTTTTTTTCTCTGTGTATTTATATCCATTAGAAGTTGAAAAAAATATCATCCACGCACAAGAACTTTAACTCCTTTTTTCTGCATAGCTTATTTTGAAAAAAGCACACTCATTTCAGTAAATGTTTAAACCCTGATGATAGTTTGCTGGATGATTTCTAAAGCACCAATTGTCAAGTACTCTCATAATTTTTTTTCTAAACGGGTTTAAAAAAAAAATCATGTCATGATTCAAATTTTTTACCTTCATTTCATGGCTTGATTCAGAACATACAGTAATTTTAGTATCTTATATTAAGGTGTGGATAGGTACAAATTATTCAGTAGGCTAAACCATGGTTTAACAGTGTTCTGCTTTTGTTAAAGACTGGTCAATTTTTTTCCCCTCTAAATTTGCTGCAGAGCAATCCTGTAGTGCATACAGACACAACCTCACAGTTTGTCAAACATCAATTAGTTTCTGCTGTGACTGAAAATGGTAGATTCTCACAATTCAAAAGTGTGGAAAACTAATAATTTCAAATACTATAGTTATCAATACAAAAAATAAATATTTGTTTCATTTGTAGTTGCATCGCATGCATACAATGTAACAAGATGAAGAAAAAAAATCTTGATTATTCAGTGCTTAAAGAATAATAACTGCAGCATGCCAATGTTTAAATTAATTATGTTATAACTCATTTTATCATGGCAAGACATAAAGAATGCAAAATTATTTTAAGGTAAAATAAATCAGTAATCTGACTCTAGCTCCATCCAGTGACATTTGCCCTCAGCTTCATTTCATCAAAGACATACATTATACATGTATAAAATTGTATATCATTGTAGTTATAGTGATGGGCACAGATTTCAAGTTCAGGTATACTGTAGCATTAGAAATTGGCGACAAAGCAATTTTTTGCTGGGGTACGTGTTATAGAACCAACAAATCTAGGAGCAAATTTACAGTGAAGCCTTAAGCTATAATATTCATCCCAATTGTGTTTGTCATAACACAGAGTAACCTTACACAACTGTCTCTCTGATCATGAGGTGGACATAAAAAGGACAGCAAAGTCATTTCTGGGCAGGAAGAAAAACACTTGAAATAATGAACTCCACCAAAAACACCCATGTTACTTCATGATTCAAGTGAGCTGATCATGTACACTGCACATTAAGAATATACACTCATACAAATTGTCATGAAACAAAGGGAACTTAATCAACGTAAAGTACAAATATAAACTGTTGTCTGATTTATCACTAGTGAAGCCATATAAAGTTCTACTACTTTTGATTCAAAGACGCAGTACAAAAAAAAAAAAAAAATCAATCAAGAATTACATGTACACTGTGCACGATTTGGTCAGATATCTCCACGTACGAGTATATATGTCGTATATATTTTTTCATTTTGGGTTATTGAGTACTTGGTCATATATGTAGATTTGGTCACTCTTTTTATTTAATGGTACATAAAGGACAACAACATTTATTTTCAACATACTCAGGCACTGTTGTTTATTGGTACAAATCAAAGCAGGGTAAAATCATAATAGGGGTAATTTATCACAAAAGTGGATGCAAGCTTGGGATTCAGAAAGGTGATATTGAGATATGGCGATGAGACACTGTTTCAAGAGTATTTTAAGTAATCGATCAGGAAGAAGAAAAAACAACAACATATATTTTGGGTAAGGATGGACCAAAAAAGCAAAAGTATATTTCAGAATTTAAAAAGAAGGAAAGAAAGAAAGAAAGAAAGTCAGAGAAAATTGCTTGAAACCATTTACACTGAAATACTATGCACCAATATTGATATGCTTACGCTTTATAAAACTTGATCTTTCATAGTACCAACAAGTTATCAAACCCAACAGTCACATGTATTTTGCCAATGACTCAACAATCACAAACCTTAATACGATACATTTTAAATAGCTCAAATTAAGTGGTTTCTGAAATTCAAATACAAGGAATTGAGATTTCTTCCTGTTGCACTCGACACCATCAAACAGAAAAAAATTGTACCCAGCTAATTTTCTAGTTCGAGAGTTTACTTCCATTCGTCTACGTAACTAGAAACCAACTAAATATAACTATTCCCATATCTAACAAAACAAATACGAATATGTATGCAGCAGAAAGAGAAACTGAAAGAAAGAAATGCAGCTTGTACATTGGCAAGAAAGGAAACGATAAATGGCAACAAAAATATAGACAGTGGAAACGTTGCCAATTTAAAGATAAAAAGCTGATCAGTTGAGAGCTAAAGATAACCAAAAATTGAAATTCAAGTTTTCAGGTTAACTTGACCTACACAGTATTCAGAAGTGGATCATTTGGATATGCACAGTCATGTTTCCAGTTGTTTAAAAAAAAATAAAGTAAAAGTGGAATAACAATGAAAGAGTCGAAAGGAATGTGCCACAAGCGGTGAAAAACTGGTCATGCATATAAACCTGTTAATGAACATGCCCTTACACAAGAACATTAGATATGTTATCATTCAAGCACTCACGTAAAGATCTACACAGAAGAAATAACCGTCTGGTATGGGTCATTCTTTAATGAAACTGACATTTGTCAACCAGATGTAATCTCATCGGAACAACCGTCGATATCAGAGACTGAAACTTTCGGTCTAGTGAAGATCCTCCTCTTTGACAGTAGTATTCATATTTGTTGGAAAAATAATTGCAAGATACAACATTCAAACCCTATGGTTGCCACCTGGATATAAAGGCCACTGTTATCTTAATTGTCACTTACAGTGTCTCCATCTGGGATTAAATGCAACATAGAACCTGTCTAGAAAGACCAACTGTCTGATGTGGCAACACCCTCTGCTTTCTTTTTCTATTGGATGGTTTTTATAGACAGGTTTGACTTAATAGTGACTGTAGTTTTCTTTTTCTCCTAAAGCAGAGTTAAGAAAAGAAATGACAGACACTTTGTATTTCACATGGCCGCCGTACAAAGCACAAGTTGCTTCCTTCTCATTCAGTTTCATTTATGTATTATTTTAAAACTCATGGTTAATCTTTATGAAGTGGATTTCGAGTGGAAATGTTTTTTCAGAAGTTTAAAAATAAACCAACAGATGAATAAGGTCATATTGATTTCCTCATTCTCCCCATGCTGGCCAGTGCTATACATAATCTATAGATGAAAATGAACAACTTTACTAGGTTTCATATAAAGGCATCGCAAGACCCTTTTTTTTGGGGGGGGGGGGGTGGTTCAGAAATAATTTACTGAAAAGATACAAAACATTTTAGCAAGCACAAAAAAGTCCAAAATTTAGATTTTAATATAGCTAAAAAAGAAAAAAGTAAAAGCTGGTCCAAAGCTGAAAAATAGAAGGGGGGGGGGGGTTGCAAGCAAATGGTTGAAAATTTCACAATTCTTTCAGTGATTTGGTTTAGAGGGGGAGGGGAAGGGGGGGGGGGTCAAACATCCCTAACTCCCTCCTGGTTATATAATGTGTCAATTGTTTGCAAACACCAGCATGTGATGCTAAAATATAATTTCCTTCCTCAATTTCTAAAGAAAATACATCATTTTCAACAACTATCATATGAACCATATGAAGTAAATAAACATAGTGGTTTTAATATACATCATCGTAAGAGTTCACACACGTTTGTCCCTAATCGTGAGAAAGAATAATGTGAGAAAAGTTCAGCTTGGTAGAATTTCTGTAATTTGCCAAAGGGAATTGACTGAAGTGACATAAAGGGCAAGAACATAAAGAAATATCCCTTATTTTTAGCCATATGTAACAGAAGTCTCAAAAATGTATTGGAACTTACTGAACTACATGATAAGATGATATAAATGCAGACATTTGGTTTTTGAAGCTTTGCAACTGCAAAAAAATTAAAGATACACACACATATGAAGAATCATAGGCTCTTTTACAATGTAGTTCATATTTTGAAGTGCTTTAAGATACCTGTCATGTTATCTGTCATGTCTATGTTAATCATAATTGACCCCAAAGCCAAACACAGCTCATTACACAGCAGTTGGTGCGACTTTCAGCACAATCATATCAATATCTATACCAAGGCCTAGATCGTATGTGTGAATATATATATTTATGTATATTTCTATTATACAAATATCTCTTTCATAAACAAATATATAATTGCTTACAAATACCAGTTCTCTGCATCGTAAGTGCATGATACAAATAGCAAAATACTCTTGAACATTTTCAATTCGAACCCATAATAAAATATATTCTGGTGAGTGGGTCGATCCTCCTCTCTCCCACAATCTCTCTCCATCTCTCACTCCATCTCTTTTAGTAAGTCACTAACTCTCTATTACTCTCTGTCTCTGTCTCTCTCTCTTTCTCTCTCTCTCACTCTCTCTCTCTCTCTCTTTCTCTTTCTCTTTCTCTCTCTCATGCTCTTTATCTCTTTCTCTCTCTCCCTATACAAATGAATACTGGTTCCGCACTGCTTTATGTGCTGCGTGCTGGCCGTTCTGCCGTTCGAGCGACGAATGCGAGCTGAGGCGGCCGCCGCCCGACGACTGGTCCGACACGCCCATCTCAAAGGGGTTTGGTATGTCCATGAATTCCGAGTGGGGAATCCCCGACTCAAAGTCGATGGGGAGGTCGGGGGTGAGGGGTGAGCTGGGGGTGCTGATGGACTGGGAGTTGGGTACAAACTCGGTGAGGGTGACGTCCGGCTGGGAGGAGCCGTCGCGGCTGTCCAGCGGTATCGGGTGCGTGCGGAAGTGATCCAGCATCTCAAAGATGGACTCGAACCACATGTGCGTGACCTTGCAGCGGTTGTCGGGGTCGAGGGTCAGCCGGAGGTGCTGCAAAGACACACATCAAAGAGAAGGATGGTCAATTGTAATGATGGTAAAACAGGATTATCTAATATCAAGGTTGCTTTTCTTGAGAGCCCTGCAATACTGATTACCGTACCCCAGCATTACCAGCTATCCATTATGGGTTGAGAGTAGGACTTGAGAGGGGCAACTCATTTACAGAGAACCAGAAGGGCATTAGCATCCTTCTAGCTCTCAAGAAAGAAATCTCTTGATAGCAATCAATTAAAGATAAATTGAGTTCTGGTCATGCGATTGCATTTTGAAAGAAACGGTGTGGATCGATCAGAAAAGGTTGATCATCTAGCATATAAGTATTGGTGTGTACTGCAAAGTTCCGGAATCATCACACAATTGTAAGAAACTTTGCCCAGTCTTGGTAAAGTTACAAGCACTGTACACAGAAATATGTATATGGGGCTACACAAACATGTGGCATAAAAATCTGTCCCAATTTTTATGTTGTTACATGCCATATTTAAAATATGAAAGCATTTGAAGAGCCATGCTTTTCAGGGAACATTTTTTATCCGCTGTTCTTCCACTTGCATAATGACAATGATAACGCTCACAAATTATTTTTCACCTCTTCCCAGAACTCGACCTTCTCTTTAAGATTTGTAATCCCAAAATGAAGCTTCATAGCTAATACCCAATAGTGGCTTTAAAGACATGAAAATCTACACACTAACTTTCAAATGTACCCACCTCCTTTAACCCACTTCTCCTCTCTAAATAAATAGCAACAACAGCAACTCAATCAGAGAATTCCATGTTGTGGGAGTGAAAAGAATTATATAATCACTGTCTAAAATTTCTTGCATTGCATGCATTTGCTTTAATAATTGAAAAGTAAAACTATTCACAGCTAAATGTTTTGTTTCCTTGTCGAAAGGCCTTAATTGCAAGTAGACGACAATTATGGTTTCCTTCATACTACAAAGTTCAGAAGAATAATGAGAGGAAAAGGAAATAAACTCTTGGGATCTAAATGTCTCTTTGTTTCCTCCTAAATCTAAATTTATCAAGATTTTCAGCAGAAACTTATATTTGCTGATTTGGATTTACTTCTAAAGGCATCCACTTGCCTGCTTAAAGCCTCGGTCACAAATGCCATTAAGAACTGCTACGAACGCCGTACGAACGATTTTCAGACAATGGAAAAACGGAGCTTCGTACGAACGCATTGTTCGTACGAACCTTTGTGACCGTAGCATTACATGTAACCAACTTTGAATAATAAAAATCAACTTAAAAGGAAAAAAACGTTCACAATATCTGCTTAAGTTTTGCTTCATGGAGTTTGAATGATTGGAAAGGTTTATTAAAGGGGAATTAACAAATGATGCTCGTGTACACTGCGCGGAAATGGGGCACACAGTGTGCAAAGGCTTCAATCTCTATTCCAATGACAGAGGTTCTAATATAGAAGCAATTCAAGCCATCTAAAGACACTTTAATCTAAATATCAATAAGTCAATAGCATATTTTCATACATATTTGATCAATATCTTTGAAAGTTGAAAAGGTCAGGAGTTGTAATTGTGGATGCAAAGCCCGACAATCCTTTCAAGTCTTGGGGATAAAGGAGAACCTGCATAAACTTGTAACACTACTTCCGGGACACCCTTTTAAAATGCTAGCCCCCTCCCTTTTTGGCACAGTTCTCAGTTTATGAATACAAAGACTGCCAAGAAAGCATTATTGTGCTAGTCTGACTTCCAGGTTAATTGAATTGTTTGATCCCCCTTTCACTTTTTTGCTTCAAATGAATTAACAAAGTCTGTAGGACATGATGGAAATGACTTCAGCCATGTCTGGAATATGTAGACTATCCCTCCAAGGGTTAACCCCCCTTTTTGGCATGAAAACTGCAACACTGAAATGCTAGTCTGGCTTCAGGTGAATTGAATTGTTTTTCTCCCCCTCTCAATGAAAATGATATAAACCAAGTCCATTTTCTAAGGACACATGCACTGGGGAGACCTTCAAACCCTCAACCTTTTAATTGAGAGTAAAGTGAATGAACTACTATACCACATTGCTCCCGAATAGACTTTAATCCTAAGACTAGGCTTAGGGTCAGGGACAATAAAGTTCATGTAGGTATTGGGGGAAGGGGGGGGGGGAATTGGGAACTCAATCTGCCTGAAACCTAGAATAATCCATCACATGCTACGCAGTCACTGGAACGCATCCAAGACATTTGCCACAAATGTGTGCAGTTTCCTTTCCTATATCCTTGAACCTAGAGACCTGAACCGACTCAACGGCCATGCTCCTTCAATTAAGGATCCTGCACTGAAAAATAGTCATCCGGGATCGAGTTAGTCATCGGCAAGGTGACGACTAAGCCTGCCAAGTTGAACATTTTTGGGGTTATTTGCCTAGATTTTTAACTCCCCTTTTCTCTTGTACAGACTCATATTAGTAACTGGCAACTATTACAAGGTTGTTTGTCCTTGTGACAACAAAGAATTGCATTACAGGGGGAAAAACCCTGGTTGGAAGAACAATTTTCTGTTAAAGTTTTGGATTTCACACATTTTCTTTTCTCTCTTTTTTGGGATGACAACAATTTAAAGGGTCAATCGCTCCATAGTGTGGCAGGGAATCATCAATAAAGATAATTCCTCAAGGTGTTTGAGTGCCTTTTTATTTGCTGTTGGGCTAGGGTAACATAACTTTTGCAACTTGAAATAAGTTAACTTGATAAATGGTGCAACACAACTGCATTAAATCATATTATCATTCAAGGAGTATGGAATACTGCAGTGGCTATATCTAGTTTTCAAATAAATCACTTCATCAGAATAAAATAAGGTACTTCCTATTGGATGATGATTATAAACAATAAAGACACTGCATGGTTTCAATATTTAGTAGTAACTGACAATAATAATAATAATGGCAAACTTAGATGTTGGCATCTGATCCATTCTTTGTGAAAATACCGGGTACTTGGAAAACAAGCTCTGTCTTCCAGTTTCACAAGGTGTTTGTTTAGAGAATCAGTGAAACTGTTCTACTCCGGTCTCCGGACCACCCATTATTAGAAGAGGTATCAGTTTCCTTCGCATTTTTGCTAGAACAAGTAGCTTTTAACAAAAAATTAAACTTGGCTAACCCCCATGTGTATATGTGAGCATTGAAGTGCATTGAATAGTCAACTCTCAAGTTGCTTTCGCTTCATCTTAAAAGGGTACAATTTCATAACCTTAATTCATAATATCTTTATACATGTGCAAGTGTAGTTTATTTGGAGCTGATATTTTTTAATACAACTGGCATGGAAGCCCCAAAATTGACACTGCATTATTAAAAAAATGTCTTCAGTGTCCCTCAAGCATATTTTGTCCAACACTCTCACCCAGGCACTTGTGGATGGGGGGGGGGGGGGGTCACAATCCACCTGTGTGCATTCACCCCCTTTAAAGCCAATTTACTCAAGGTTAAATACTTTATTTCCGTGTACATGTACTATCGTTAGAGATCTTTAAGTACTTTTTGTATCATCTATTCAAAGTAATACCCCATTTTTAAAACCCTTGTCACTTTTATTTGGGGGGTAGTTTGCCCCCTCCCCCTTCCTTTTTGCATAAGCCTTGACCCACCCCACCACCAGGTGCCCGACACAACTTTGGCACCTCTGTTGAGTGCCATCAGCCACTGCCAATCCACATCAGTAATGATATTATCAGAATAGTTTGTTATTGCACGAGACATGGGAGCACATTTCTCTGGCACTGAAGCCAGCGCAGTAATGACATCCATGCTGGATTACGGATGGATGCTGTAAGCGACATATGAGAAGGTTACAGCGATTGAAACCACCTCCATGCTCAATATTAATCTTCTTAACTTGGCTTCTGTTTCCCTGGGAAGACCTAAAATGTATTAGCAAAAATGTAGAGTATTGAAATAGATGTAATTTTATCTTTTCCTAACCACAGTGAAATTTAAGAAAAACAAGAATCTTGATCCATACATACAGAAGTTTTTTTTCCCCCGAAAGCATTTTGTTTTTGCAAAAAATAAATTTAAAACGATTGAATGGATTTTCTCATGGTTTTTTGCATGGATTTTCTCGATATTAGAACATTGTAAATTATCCATGATAGAAATTATCACTACCAAAATGATAATAATATAGAGGGTGCAATAGCTGCCTATCTTTTAAGTTTATATTTGTGTTTATGTTTTAAAATAACAATACGCAACAATAGATTCCATAACTTTCTGAAAGATGAATAAAAAGGGTTACGGATAGGAATAAATTCCAGGAATATATTTTGAGTGCTGTAATTGAGGCAATACTTTTCATTCATTAGTTTGAAAGACACTTTAAAAGTTCAACAGCTGAGTGTGAAGGTGATAGATAAACCAAATCAATGACTCAACCCTCAAATGGTTACATTTTGGGCGAGACCGAGCTGAAATCGGTATCATCTTCAAATTGACATCCCTCGAGACAGACCCCTCAACAAAAAGGGCAAGAACGCTAGCTCGCCCCATCTGTGACCCTGATGTTAAACAAGTTATCAAGGAGAGCTCTCTTCAATTAAACTTGAATGCCCTATTTTACACCCTTTCATAAGTTCAACAAGTCTGCATAACAGCACTCTCGGTATAGTAGGAACATTGTAGGAATTTGTTAATTGAACAGCATCAAACTACCGTAATGCTCATTATTTCTGTTACGTGGATAATAGCAGCATCATCTTTAAATTTGTTGTTTTGGAATGGGCTAATGAGGACCCCGCATTATGCAAACTTATTTGGTCCATGTTTGGACCTACGATCAATGGTCACTTGATGAATGTGGTAAAAATTGAGTTCAAAGGTCACTTGATGTTCTGCAAAATGCTGATTGGTCAAGATGTGCTTTGTAAACAATCATGCTTCTTTTACATTCATACAGATTTTCAGAGTTTGTGAATAAGAATTGTACTCCTTATTATGCACATTATTCTAATGAAAGTAATAGGAGCATGGGTGAGTGAAAGGGGTTTTATTCAGGAGAGAGTCTTGTAGCTCCTGACTCATAGTTCGGCTGGCAAGGGGGGGGGGGGGTTGAGGTTTCCTCATAATGTTTACATGATGATGGCATTACTCACGTAGATAAAAAGATATCATATTTCACTTCAACCGTGCCAGGAATATAAAGATAAGAGATGCATCATGTATGCGTGAGAGTTGAATTAGTAAATACGTTTATCAATGTGCTCCTGTGACAATTGCTCCACAGTCAATTTCAAACACTAACTGAATTCCTTACTTAAACCCTGTACCCAACACTCTACACAACCCGAAACCTAACCTTAAACAACTGAAAGCTTATAAGCTATAGATTACAATAACATCAATTATTTTTTATTTGCGTGACTGTCAGAGGAGTAACAGCTCTCTGAATGCAAAATATATTTGCATTCTACATTCATTCAGCTTTCCATTGATGAAAAGTTTTATTTTCATCAGATAGGGTCTTTAACACTTATCTAACCTAACCCCCAATCACAACACCAACATTAAAATCTACATATTTAATGAAAGAAAGCCTGGATCAATTGTCGCAAGAGCAAATGTTGGATCCCCCACTGTTCAGGACTATGATTCAAGATTCAATATAAGCACGATGGCATGCAGGAAACTGAAGACTTGTGATATCGGAGCTGCGGAAGGACCTTCCAAAGTCACTGGCATTTCATAACATGTCAGGCTAATCTTCCAAGTGGTATTCAAAACATTCTGCTAGTATTAAATGTCAGCGATAATAATAATAATAAGTCTTGTTTACCCAGGGAAGCCTCATCAGTATACATACTGTTCTCCCTGAGGGCCCTGCAGTCATATCGGTTCTAATGCCAATGAAATTGTACTCATCCATGCACTACTGACCCCCAAAACATGTTCACAATAATGCTATGATGAGTTATCACTAAATTTCCTAACTTTTTATTCTAATGTCATGACAAAATATCAAACAACACTAGAAAGGATTCAGGCAGAAAAGGGGACTGACAGGGATTAGGACCAAACATGGCTTTCTCCTGGGCAGTGGTCTCACAAAACCATCATAAGTACAAGTTCACCTACATCCCATTGAAATGCATGTATTAAGTTTAACACATGTTTCAATAGGATGTCGGTGAACTTGTACTCATGACGGTTTCATGAAACGCTGCCCTGGAGTCCTTGTATCTTATAAGAGTCACTGTACGTCCCGCCTCGCCTCGCCCAAGACTACCCACCTTCGGCCTTCCATGGAAGTTGAACGTGAGAACGCACTCCCCTCTCCTCGTCTCGCTCTGCCGCACCAGGAACACGCCGTGCCGTATAGGGCCTCCTTGCAGCACCAGCTGGGCGGCGTCTATCCTTGAGAGGGTGCCGTGGAACCAGGGGTACTGGGTCAAGGGGTGCTCGTCCTGGATGCTATCGATGGTGGTGGTGCTCTGAGGTGGGGGGACTTCTGAGGTAGAGGAACGAGATGGGGTGGAAAAAGAGGTACAGTGTCAACTATGAAATTCTTCCGATCATAGAACTGGCTAGGGAAAGGGAGTTTCTAATCCACTGCTTAATGTGTTTTGAGGAAATATGTCGTTGTATTTCAAGCCCCCACAATTTTCATCGGTTCTACAGCCTCAACCTGTCATCCTGGAATTACCATATATAAATAACCATAGCAAATTCTGATTGCACTGAATTTGAATTCTTTGGTAGAAATGACAAATAAACTGGTGGAAGGGGGGGGGGGGTAGGGGCACAGCTAGCCCATGCCCCCTGCCCCTGTAACCCTCCCATGCATACACAAATAACTTCTCCATACCCATTTGTGTGTCTCCTTCAAATCTTACAAAAGGAAATGCAATAATATAACCTGGATATATTCCTATGTTGAAGTGTATTTAATAGTTTTTAAATTTGAAATACCACCCACAAAAAAAGACACCCTTGACTTTCCCAGTAGCAAGGCTATTCTATTTACTGCTGATTGGGGAACCTAAAGGAGAACCAATCTTCATGTAGATCCTATAATGAAGTGCATCGGTGCACCGCCCACTCACTCAATCCCTGCTTCTAAAAGATGAAATCAGACCCAAATCCCTCTCTTTCTACATATGATGAGCATGACACCATGATGAAAGAGAGCCATCTCCTTGGCTAGCAATTCCAAGAAATCAACCGCTATGTGCATCCCCAGAAGGAGGTGTGAGAGATGTAGAGAGAACGATAGAGAGAGGAAGAGAGAGGGAGAGAGAGGGAGAGAGAGGGAGAGAGAGAGAGAAAGAGAGAGGTGGGTGAGGGGGAGAGAAGGAGAAAGAGAGAGAGAGAAGGTGGGAGAGAGAGAGAGAGGGGGAGGGGCGGAGAGATAGAAAGAGTAAGAGGTAGAGAATGCAAGTGCTGATGGTTACATTTTTTAATAAAGAGTAAAATAAACATGCACCTCTTATTATCAAGATATACAATGTTCAAGTAAACTTGTTAAACATGTAAATATCCCTGCATCAGCCATCATCTGGCCATTACATTAAGTACACGTCGTTATGATCATAATCACACCATTACCTATCCTCTGACCGACTGGTTCTGAGTCGTTGCTTAGCGACCGACTCCTGTTGAGCTCGTGATGCCTTCTCGGGGGTACTTGAGGGGGCGGGGTACCTGGAGGGGAGGCATCCCTGCTCGACGTCTGCCCACCTGTGGAGGTCTCTGGAGTCGGGGGACTTCTTGAGGCACCGTTGGTTAAGTTGGCTACAAAGAAAAAAAATCAAACCAAACGAATGTTTGTGAAACTAAAGGACAAGTTTTACAATGCAGTTACACAACCAGCGCTACAGATAGGCCTTGAAAAGTATGCTCTGATGAAGAAGAAAGAAAAGATACTGGAGTTGACAGAAATGAGGATGTTACAAAGGACACAAGGGGTGACTTTAAGAGACAGGAGAAAAAACAAGGAAACGGGAAAGGGGTTGATGGTATCTAACATCCTGGAGAAGGTAAGGGATATGAGATTGAGATGGTTTGGAGAGGGCTGACGAAGGAAAACCACCAAAGGACATTGAAACACGAACAGTGGTAGGAAGCAGAGGTGATCTGTCGAGAAGACAGAACACCTAAAGATATGAGGGAACTAAATCTGACAGTGCATGCTCAACCAGGGAATAGATGAGAATGGCAACCAACCCATGCTAAAGGGGGTATCTCACCAAGTTTGGGGTTTCGCCAGGGTTCGTAAAAGGTTGCAAGAAAATTTGCAGACAGTTTTCATTGTCGCAAAGTTTTTCTTGGCGCAAAGAAATTTTGAGCAAAGGATTGGCAAATAGTTGCTAATCTTTGCAAAAACTGTCGCTAACATTTGCTTATATTTGCCAACTACCTTTTGCAATCATTCGCTCAAATGTTGCTAATTGTCGCTAATGGCAGAGGTGAACCCCAATTTTTTTTGCAACGTTCGTAAGCATTGAGATCCCCACTGTAAGGGATAAGGCCAAAAAACAAAAACATGTTTAACGTCCTGCCTTTTTTCAAAATGGCCGCTCGGTATATTTTCCCTGACAGTCGGGCTATTTTTCAAGATGGCCGCCGGCATTTAAAAAAAAAAATCAGAAATAGATCATTTTTAGCATCATTTTTCATGTTGTTTTTTTCTTTGAAAATTTTTTTTTTAAATAAAAAAAGGAGGCGGCCCCCAAAAATGAAGCGGGCGGGGACGCTTAACATTAAAGGTAATACAAAGTTTTGGTGTTGGGTCACGAATTTGGGTCAGGAATTTGGTTCAAATGAACATATTGGAAGCATATGCGATCCTGTAATATTAAGTGATCGTTGTCGCGGTTGAAAACGAGTCTAAAGTTATAAAATTGTAAATAATATACTCTTTAAGTTGTATAGCTCCCTCTCAAGGTTGATATATTAATTAAGCCATATAACAATGTTTCTTGACTAAAATCGACCGATTGACTATTCCCGTTTGTAAAATTATATATCATAACTACATATTCTGAGATTTTGATGGTTGCAGTTTCCATAGTATGGCTGTAAGCGCTATTTAAAATTTATCAAAATTTACCGGAAGCACCGGTAAATTTTGATATTCAATTTGTCTCGAAAGCAGAAGTGTTTTAGGGGCTAAATTTTCTAGTTATTACATGGAATAGTAGCAGTAGTAGTAAATAAATGGAGGTAGTAGGGACAGAGAGAGAGAGAGAGAGAGAGAGAGAGGGAGAGAGAGGGAGAGAGAGCGGGGGGGGGGGGGGGGGCAAATGAGCCAGGGAAAGTTTGGAGACAAAGATCTCTGGCTTGATGGAGCACATTGTTACAGAGATCCCATAACTACTTGATGACCAATTTCCAAGTCGTTTGGGAATTCCCATTAAAGACCGGGGTCCCTCCATATCACTGGACCATCGCATAATCAGTGATTCACGGATCAAGTGACTCTATTTTGATCTCATTTTAACCGGTCATAGGCATTGGCTTCAATTACGAGAGCCACTAAGAATGCGATGACTGATAGACGATAAGATTTATTCATGTCTATGGTGAGGATAAAAGGCTTTGTTTTAATATAGAGAGGGGTGAGGCAGCTTGAACAGGGAGTAGCCTGGGAAAGGTGTGGAAGATTGAACATAATGAGCTTGATGTTTTTATATCCATGGATACTGTCTTAAAACATAACAAAAACCCAGAAAGACAGACTAGACACTGAGAGAGAATGAGGGAAAGAGACTGAGACAGAGACAGAGAGAGACATACCCTTGTGTGTGTGTGTGTGTGTGGGGGGGGGGGGGTAAGGGTCTTGCATTATTGAATATGATGGCTTTGAGAATTTCACATCCATGGATACTCTCTTGAAAATCAAATAGCAGAAAAGAGGCAGACACTGAGTGAGAGAGAGAGACAGAGAGAGAGAGAGTGAGAGAGAGAGAAACAGAGAGAGAGAGAGAGAGACAGAGAGACAGACAGAGAGAGAGAGAGAGAGAGAGAGAGAGAGAGAGAGAGAGAGAGAGGGGGTGGGGGTAGGGGTCGGTAGCCTCACTACATCATTTTGGTTGTGCATTATTTCTTAGCAATCGTTTCTGTCACTCCAGGATAATGTATCATAACTCAATTAAGCAAGTTTGACCAAGCCCTTCCCACATTTCAAGGACATAAAAAGGTGCCAAGACAATAAGGATAACAAAACTGAACACTGCTTTCCAGACAAGTAAGATGATCTGTTGAAAGCCATGAGGGCATCAGCTTATATATTTTTGTACATAGAGTTAGCATCGATCCTTCTATCTCTCATAAGACAAAATTATTAATTGTTCAACAGCCAAGAAATAAAAAATAAAATTCTTAGTTTTAGCCATTTTAATGCTTAAAATAAAGAGGCTTGTGGCAGGGCTTAATATTTACAGGGTTGGAGTCAGCATATGTCCCCAAATTTTAACTTTAGAGCCCTAAAATGTTTAAACCAAAATAGGGGGCTGCCCATATAGCCCCTAAAAATGTTAATTAGGACCCCTCAGGAAAAAAGAAAATGCTAGTATAGAGGTGCTCCAATATACAGCGTGTCCACACACAAAACAATTTATCGCGAAACTCTATAACGATACGTCGTATAAAGAATCATCGTATAAATTCCAGGATGTCCACACACAAGAAACGTCGTCACTAAAGAATCATCGTATAAAATGCCCCCTGTCCACACACAACATTTTCCGTGATTCTTTATAGAGTTTCGCGATAGTGATAAGAGGTCTGGTCTCATTTCGCTCGAGGTCACGTTAAGCCCCGCCCAGTTAGTTACACTAGTTACACTCCCCCAGGGGGTCCCCCTGTCCACACACAACATTTCCGTGATTAGGCGTGATTCTTTATTGAGTTTCAGTTCGAAACGATGCCCAAACCTGCGTTTCGTTAGACTAGTTTCGTTATACGACGTATCGTTAGTGAGCGTCCACACCTACAATTTTGGTCGTAAAACTATCGCGAAACGGTATCACTATCGCGAAACGGTATAGCTAATCATGATTAGTCACGGAAAATGTTGTGTGTGGACAGGGGGAAATATGCTCTGATCACAATTGCTCTAGGCTTATTTTGTCACAGTTACGTACATGGTTAGGGCTAGGTTTAGGATGCCCTTGAATTAACGTCAGATTAAGGGTTAGCGTTAGCCTGTCAGGTTTATCGGTTGCTGTGTTTGGTTCAAGATTAAAGACCAACCCATTGACCACTGAATTCTCTAACTCCAATAAGATTAATACAGGGAACACCCAGTTCCAGAAGGCAGTAGGTTAACTATTGGTTAGTGTTCGATGTGAAGAACAGAGGAACAGGGATACCAGTTATAATTGATCAGAGGGCTTGAAAATCACCTAGAATGAGCTATTTCGTTCACAAAAAAGCCTAAACTATGATCTGAAAATAACTTGCCAGGGCCTGAATTCAGACTATTGCCTGAAAATCGGCATCCCTGAGAGGAACATTTGCTGTCCAACCATTGTGAAGCCATCTTTGTGGTCACCATGGCGACCTTACCTTGTTGAGATGGTATATTGATGGTAAGAGCTGGCTTGATTCTGGGCGGAGGCTGAACGCTAGTCGATACCGAACCCGTTGCACCATGGGGAGGGGAGGGTGGTGGATGGCTAGGCAGCATGGGAAGCGGTCTGTAAAGAGAAGAGAACAATATTTCCATATTCCTCATTAATCAAGATAGTGTTTTAATATCTACAAGCAAAAAAACACAACCTGTTATTGCATTGACCTGTATAGAAAGACTGGAAGTCTATAAAGAGCACATTATTTGTGTGCCTGCATGTGCAATGTTTCTCACTGGAACCTGTACTGAAGTAATTGTTGTACCTATATGTACATGATATAACCACCTGTCTTTAGAGACCACTATTGTTGTCTCCCTTTGGTGGTCTGTATGTACAGGTTTCACTGTAGTTCAATACAATGTACACTTCACATCAATTCCTTAATTAAAAACAACAATCATCATTTCACATGAAGATTTGGCAACATCATATCAAATCAATGCATTTTCCAGGGATGATCGAGAGAGCATAAATGCATGATTCAGAAAGAAAGAAAAAAAACCTATTAGTAAGCATTAGTAATGATGCAGGAGAAATTCTAAATTATTCACCAGACCATTCTAAATGTTTGACATCAAATAAGAAAATGGTAGTTAAAGTCATAATGAGACATTGATACGTGGCATACAAATAAAATAAACATGAAAGTGACTCCTCAGCTAGAGCTAAACTGTGTTTGTATAGTATCATTCGCCCAGCTACTTCGCTTGTAATTACTGACATTAATATCCAAGGAGATGAATTATGACAAGTTTGCAATTTCATAATTGCACTCTTTAGTGTCTAAAATCTTTCTACAAGTGTATCGCTCAGTGATTCAATATTTGCTCTTGCGACAACTGCTCTGGGCTTTATTTCATAAAAGTATAGGGCTATTTCAAAAGCAGGTTGACAGATTTGATTGATAATAGCTAGATAGTTAATTACTTCGCTTGTCTCTTTTATTGTAATTTATGATTTATGAGAGTGTTGAATGTTTATAGGGTGAATAGCCCTTATTGGTCAGTGGCCTTTAATAATTTCTTATATCCACTTGATCACTGATTATCACAGTGTTCCTATTTTTCACAAATGTGTTGATGTTCGAAATGTTTTTGTGCTACATTATTTATTTCTCAAATTGTATATATATATTGTTTATAAGTATTTTTACTTTTTCTCTAAATAAAAGTGATGTAAAATAATTATTTTTTTTGTATTTGAAAGTTTCCAATTTCAAAACATAGTTTGCTAATTGCCAAGATTAAAAAATATATAAAAGTTGGTAACCCAAATACTCAATTCGTCCTTGTTTTCACGAAGTGACGGTAGTGAGGAAAATCGTAACGCAAAGTGAATGCAATTTTTTTTCACTACCGTCACTTCGTGAAAACAGCGGCGAATTTGACACTGTATCTCCTTGACATCACGCACACGTATCTCTTCTGGCAAAGCAAAGTTCATACACTAAAGATGGAGTTTGAACTGACATTAAACTCTAATCACTCCAAGCATAGCTCACGTATGCAAGGTAAGGTTCTGAGAGTAGAAAGAGTATTGTTTTTCATTGTTTCCCATATGATATGTTTAATGCCCTTCGGCATGACCTTGTAAATGAGATGATGTGTAGCATTGTAATTATCTCATAATCGATAGGGATTCACACGCCACTTGTAGTTATATCGTGGTATTGGGTTTCATGACTTTCATCAAGTATCCCTCTAACTGTCACGCTTGTATCGATCGACAGGAACATCTGCTTTAATCGGCTAGATACAGGGGTTGTGTTCACACCAATCTCCTGGTGTGAATGTTACTTTGATTCCACTCTTAAAGAGAAGGTTGAGTTCTGGGAAGAGGTGAAAAATAATTTGTGAGCATTATCATTCTTATTATGCAAGTGTGGAAGAACATCAGATAAGACATGTTCCCTGAAAAGCATGGCTCTTCAAATGCCTTCATATTCTAAATATGTCATGTACATCGTAAAACTCGGGGGGGGGGGGGGTAGGTTTTTTACGCCACGTGTTCGTGTAGTCCCATATACATCTTTCTGTGTACAGTGTTTGTAACTTTATCAAGACTTGGCCAATTTCTTATCATTTTGATGATTCCAGAACCTTGCAATACACACAAATTATTATATGCTAGATGATCAACCTTTTCTCGTCGATTCCACACCGTTTCTTTCACAATGCAATCGCATGTCCAGAACTCAACTTCATCTTTAACCAACTCAGAACCCACTCCAAACCCATCAGTAAAGTCTTTCACCAACCCCAAAGAATATTACTTTGAGGATATATGAGGAAGGAAGTCCCGAGTGCATGTATATAAAGACTGTCTGTGTATAAGACTACACTACCTACTCTTAAAGCCCGAGTATGTTCCGGTATTTATATTTTCCCCTTCAAGTTAGCCCATAATTGATGTATATGTTTAAATGGAGAAAAAAATATTAAGCCAATTTTCATCAACCAAAAATTGTACCCCTATACATCTAGAACTTTGGAGCTAAGGGAAATTTGTAGCAGTATGCAGTCTTACAGAATCTTCTTTATAATTCATAATACAATCTCTCGCTCTTTTGCTATAATCATGAAAACAGTTCTCTTCCATCTTTTCTTCTAGCATTTTAAAGCTTTTGATTTTTGATCCAAGTTAAGATAATTGCACTTCTAATGATGAGTTTGTTATTTTTGTTATACACTTCATCATCCAATCATTTAATCTTCCAATCATCATAAATCTTTCACTGTCACTTTAATACAAGCAAGGTTTCCATTGTTACTTTTTATTACAAATTATTTATCCACTTCATCATGACTAAGGGTGCATGCATTCAATCAATACTATTTCACCCTAGAATCACAGTTTTCAAAGACGTTTAGTTTAAAGGTATTACAAAGTTTTGGTATGGGGTCATGAATTTGGTTCAAATTAACATATTGGAAGCATATGCGTTCCTACAATATTCATTGATCGTTGCCCCAGTTGAAATCGAGTCTAAAGTTATGAAATTATAAATAATAAACTCTTTATGTTGCATAGCTCCCTCTCAAGGTCAAGATATTAATTTAGCTATGAAACAATGTTTCTTGACTAAAATTGACCGATTAGCTATTCCCGTTTGGAAATTATATATCACAACCACATATTCTGAGATTTTCATGGTCTCAGCTACCATAGTACGGCCGTAGGCGGAATTTGAAATTTATCAGAATTTACCGGGAGCACCGGTAAATTTGTATATTCAATTTTTCTTGAAAACAGAAGTGTTTTAGGGGTTATTTTTTTTAGTGCTTATAATACATCTACTGGGGCATCCAAATATATCAAAATTGTAAAGATTCACTATCCACCCAATTTTCAAAATTTCCCAAAACTTTGTATTACCTTTAAAGCACGGTTCAAGCAATTTTTTGTCGGTCGTAAAAATGAAGGTGTTTAAAAACACAAACATGAAACGGCGAGGTTGATTTATACTTTCTGAGTCAAACTGCACAGTGTGATGAGCAGTGGCTGGGCTTGAAAAGAGCAAGAAACAACGTTGATGAAAAAAAAATCGCTTGAACGCTCTGCCAAAGTAACCATGTTTTTAACAGCGTTTTGATTTGTGATTCATGTTTGTGATTCTAGCTTCAAAAAATTGCTTGAACGCACCGTAAACCATCACTCTCACTGGAGAAGATCTAATTTCTTCCGCTTTTTGAAGAACCTTGAAATACTTAGTTGTGGTTTCATCAGAAGATGATGAGAACATGCCTATACTGATGTAACTTCGCACTTCCACTTTTTTATGTTCTTCCGATCATCATGGAAGTTTTATCGCCACTTAGATATTGCTTCACTCAGTACTTATTAAGTGATTGATAAGAGTAATGTGTCACGATATGCTTCATTAAAAAAGGTCAACAATGAGGAAATAATAGCTGTAGTTCTGACATAGGCTTCTTTTGTACTATATCCTTAAATATTCTAAACTCTCTTACGTGTATTCCAACCATTCTCTCATGAGAAAATCTTATTTCTTCTGCTATTTGGTGAATCTTTGAAATACTTAAGTTATGGTTCGATCAGGAGATGGTGAGAATATGCCTATGGAATTCACACTTTCATCTTTTTCTTCTTGCAATCGATCCTATCGTGTTGCTTCATGTTGCCTGACTTGGTACTTGTCAAATGATTAATAACAGTAATGTGTCACTTCTATGCTCCATTTGTAAGAGGTTATGAGTATGAAGGAAATGATAGAACTATAGTTCCGACAAAGGCTCATTTCATACTTGATCAGCTAGTGGGTCTTTCTGGACATGAGTAACTTTGAATAGAAGGTGGATAATGCTGTTCAATCAAATCTTTATCTCCTTTACAATGTCCTGAAAAGATTTTAGCAAGGATAGCTGTGATGCTTCACCTCTACATATTACATACTTAACCCACTATAAGATCATAGATCTAGTAGACCTGGGAAGGGGGCTTAGACAACATCTTTTGTAACAGGGTGAACCCTTATGTATTCTACGCTCTCTTACATGAATTCTAATCCCTGGATATACCATTGGTGACTGGTGATGAACTATCATGGTCTCTGTATCAGTATGTATTAGCTGTTGCTGTGCCAGGCAACTTATATTGGCAAGCTCAAAACTTAGAGGGCAACAGTTTGTGTCAAAAGTATGCATACAATTTGAAGATATTAGTTAAAGAGTGCATTAACCCCACTGTCTATCAGGAAAAACAAAACAAAACAAACAAAGAAAGCAAACAAATCTAACCAACAAAAAAAACAAAAACCAACCAATTCAATTACACAAACAAAGAATAACAATATTTGTCCACATTAATTCTATCCCGACAAAACTGCAGTACATTGAATTCCTATGTTTGTTTGTATCCTATACACATAGGAAATCAATGCTGCACATAAATGTTTTGCGGTTGTAATGATTAGCATGTCCTGTATGCAAATTACATCATTAATATCACAGAGAATAGACCTGGTATAGACATCATAACAATGCAATATGAATCACACATTCATTTCCTCATATCGTAGATATTACAAGGTTGTCTAAATACGCATG